TCACTCGCACATACTTGTAAGCACGCATCCATAACGATGTACTTGCAAGAGACAAGTAACAGGTTTCCAGTTTCCTTTCACGTCCCTGAGGATGAGTTGCTGCTGCAGGGGGGTTGGGGTTGACGTTCCTGTATAAAAGTCTCTTGCCCATGTGCTCTGGCATCATACCATCATGAAGGCCTCGGTACGCGTCTTCAATCGATGTTGTTGTGGATTCCCTCCCTGTCGAGTGTGTTCAAAAGTGACTTGGTTTTATGCGGCAAATGTGTCTCAGTTTCGGTGTCTCTCTTTCAGTGTGTCTTCTGGCTGATCGCCTGCTTGGTTTTGGCAGCAGGCGTTGTCGCACGACCTGGGCCTCCTTCAGCCTCTCCTGAGCCTGATTCCGGAACTCCCTCCGTCCCTGCCCTGCGTGATGCGTCGTCGGAGATATATCTTCCAGGAAGTTCCTCTGACGAAAATCTGGATGACGTAGTGTCCCTGGATGGTGGCTTGGAGAACTCGGTCACCCCTTCAGGCAGTGAAGCAGATCCCGTGGTTTCCAACGATACGCTTGGTGATTCGATTAGTGAATTTAGTGACTTCAATGTTAGTGAATCTTCTGGTGATGCTGCTGAGATTCACTTTTTGAAAAGTGACTCAGATCGTCCTCCAAGCAATGAATCGGTGGATCCACTATCTTCGAATGAGGAATCTCTGTCCCTGGCCACGTTGCGTAATGAAACAGAGATCTTTGTGTCGACTACTAATGAATCTGTGGACCCGTCATTCGCTAAATTACCGGAAGTAAATTATACTCAAAGTGAATCGCAAAATCCCTCCCAATCGCAGAATTTAACTATGGTCTACATCCTATCATTCGGAGAAAAAGAAAACCCTGCTTCGTCACAGGAAGATGCACAGGATTATTTAATCATGAACGAAAACATGGAGGAGTCTGATTCAATGGATAAGGAAGCTTCACAAGATACATCGGGTGAATCTCTCTCTGCGCAGGTTCCCGAGAGCCAGATTTCTTTCTTTGATCATTCTAAGGGCGGCATTACAACCGACGGTGCTTCAGACAACCTAGTCGCATTGTTCTGGGCTCCAGAAAACATAGTGTCTACGCATATGTCGAGAGAGCGATCAGTGTCCCATAATGCTTTTCCTGAGGCTTCTGGCACCTCTTATAATGCGTTACAAAATCCTTCTACACCACAGAGTCTTCCGGGTAACCCAATTCCTTTCCAGAATGTTCCCGATGACCACAATTCGCCTCAGATCATTCCAGTTAATCACGTCCTTTTCCTAAATGACCAAGACGATCATATACCTTCCCAGAATCTGCCAGAATACCCTATCCAGGCACATGATATGCTTTCAGGTCACGCTCTTTCACACAGTATTTCTGGAGGTATTTCCGCCTCGAATGTACAGATAAATGCACCGATAGATCATGAGCAAGGAAATGCTCCAGATGTTACTGTACAGAATCTCTCCGACCATGGCTTTTCACATGGTACTTTTGAGGATAATGCTTCACACGCTGTTCATGTTAATGTCCCTTCAAATACTGGCGGAGTTAGTGTCGCTTCACATGTACTCCAAGCAGAAGTCCCTTTACATTCTGCTCAGGTCGATATTGCTTCACACGTTCCTGAAGTTGGTATCTTACACCATGATGAGCAAATACCAGATGCCCCTTCACATATTAATGGTGATGTTATTTCACATGTTAATTCTAGGGATAATCCTTCACAGACTATTCAAACTAGTGCTTCTTTAAATACCGTCTCTTCACATGCTGCTCATGCTGATGTCCCTTCTCATAATACTGAATTCGATATTACTTCACATACTTCTCAAGCTGATATCCTGTTCCCTGAAAATCAAGTAGCAAATGCCCCTTCACATATCAATGCTGATATCGCTTCACCTATTTCATTTAAGGAGAACCCTTCGCATGCTTTTCAAGGTAGTGTCCCGTTAAATACTGTTGGAATTAGTGTCTCTTCTCATGATGCTCATGCTGATGTCCCTTCACATAATACTGAATTCGATATTATTCCACATAGCCCTCAAGCTGATATTCAATTCCATCAAAATCGAGCAGCAGATACTCCTTCACATATTAATGTTGATGTCACTTCACATAGACCTCAAGTTATCTCTTTGCAAAGTAGCATAGTTAACGTCCCTTCTCAAATTACTAATGTTGATGCACCTTCGCTTTTTACGCAGTCGGGTGACCTTTCACCTAATGCCCATCCTAATATCCTTTCTCGTGATAGTATAGATTTCCCTTCACAAATCACTCGGGTTGAAGGTCCTCCCCATGCTACTCAAGGTGATGTCCATTCACAAGATTTTCTCTCTGATGTCCCATTCCACGCCACTCAGACTGATGTCCATTCGCAGAATATTCCGGTAAATCTTCCTTCTCACCACACACCTTTACAAGATGACCTTTCTTCCCAGAGTGCCGCAGTAGACGAAGCCCCAGTTCATAGCATTTCAAACG